ATTGCGTTAGTAAAGATAGAGGTTTAAAAGGATAGAATCGGCAAATTTCAAACTTAAAGCAAATAGATTCTACGCCTCTTTCCTCAACATTTAATGTAAAGTATGGTACGACTTTGTAAGCGTACTTGATTAATAAAAATTGACACCATAGCTTGAGCGTCCACAAATTATTTAGCGCTTTCTAATAAAATATATCATAAATGAAATAGGTCTTTAATTTCAAATTTTAACACCTTTACGTTGACAGGTGAGTTAGAGACATCAAACCATACGAGATAATTTTTCACATTACGAGTGTTCAGAAAGCTTAAGAAGCGTAATGAAATTGGAGCATTCTCAATCGTGTGTGCAGTTGCAATAGAACCGTCCTTAACATCCTGTACGTGCTGCAGATGGGCATTAATATCTAGAAAGGACCCACCAAAGCATATGATGAAAAGTTCGTGTATTAGGAACTCTACATGCTGAACTAGTGATACATCTAACGGGGGGCCTCCTTTCAAGATTACAAGATTTCAGTTGCACTCTTAATGGGCAGTCTTTTCTACTCTTCCGTATCAGAACATAAATCTATTTTGTAATATTTTTATAGATTTGAGTTTAGCTTTTCTGTGTACAAATGATTGTAGACGCTATCAAACTATTTTTAAAGCAACTTTCAGTTTTTTCCTTGGTGTCTTTACAAATTCCTAAATTTCTGTAACCATAATTCTAGATCAAATTTGATTTTAGTAAAATTATCCGGCTTTTGTCCCGCCGTGTTGAGAAAAGTTTGGGAGAAAATGTGAGAAAGTTATGGAGGATGCGGAAATGTAAATTTCTTTCGGCAAGAAGGTGCTTAGTGAAAAAATTATAAATAAAATAAATACTAAATATCGATTTTAACATTTATTCAATTAATAATTTGCATACACACGTTTCTACGAACTACACTTTTAGTTAGCTTATTAATTTAATATTACCAATTTCTATTTACTTCAAATTTTAAAATAGAAAATAAAATTCTCGCTTTTCTGAGAAAGATTCGTTGTTTGATGTATATACACTAACATTGATTCTTCTGAGGGTTTTCACAGCTTCTAGCTCTGCAAAAAAAGCACTTCAATTGTATACTTTGATCAAGGTAACGAAACCAAATGTAGGGAATTAGAAAAAATGGTAATTTATTCTTTTAATTTATTAATGGTATTTTATTCCTCATCAAATGTCTACGATTACCATAAGAATTGTTTACAATGTATCCATAAATTGAATTTATCACAAACAGTGTGCGAATATTGAATAGGGATAGGTTATCATTAACTAATTACAAGCCAATAAACATGTTTATTCTTAAGGGGGTTACCTTCTAGCTACTAAAGAAATATATTGATAAGACCTTAACATACTTATATCCAAGATGTGGCTTAAAGGGTAAAAGACAAATGAGACTTCGATTTTCTACGTTAAATTATGAACAAATAATTTATTTCCAACATACATTATTTAGTACATGTATTACATTTTTGAACATTTTTAACACTCAATTCTGTTTACAATTTTGTAAATATGTATTATATTTTTTCAATTTGAATTAATACGAGGTGAAATGACATGATATTGAAAGGTTATTTGTAGGAAGGTCAACAAGATTTCTCACTATTTTGCAGTGCGGTCTTGATTGCTAATGTAACGACGCCGTTGATGTAAAATACCTGAAACAGATTGATTTGATTACGAGAAAAACCTGTCAACATTATTGGTCAGGCAATGTTTTGAAGTACATTTATCTCTAAATAAAACAAAATTTTAACTTATTAATTTTTTTTACAGATCTGTCAATGCAACGCGCATTTTCTTACCATTGTAGTATTCAAAAGATAACTAAGCTAAGAACAAATGTAACTTTATATTAACTTCTCCTCATAGCACGTCCCAATAAGTTTTTAAATGTTTTTGAAGTATATAAGTAAAATAATAAATAAACCATAAAACAAAATTAAATTAAAATTTTATGTGGTGTATTTGTCTAATAGACTATACTGAAAAGATAAAACAAAGATCCAAAAATTCCAGAGATTGGGCGGTACTATACGAAGAGCACTAAGACAAAATACCAGACAAGACACCCAACTAAAATTTTACAAAACTATGGCAGTCCCAATGCTAACTTATGGATG